TTTCAAACTATTTTAAAATGTAATTTATTTCTGTGATGCAAAGCTGAATTTTCAGCATCATTACTCCAGTCAGTGTCACATGATCCTTCAGAAATCATTCTAATATGCTGATTTGCTGTTCAAGAAACACTTCTTATTATTATCAATGTTGAATAATGTTGTGCTGCTTAATATTTTTGTGGAAATGCCATGTTTTTCAGGGTTCTTTGAGGAAAATAAATTTTAGAATAACAGCATTTATTTAAATAGAAATCTTTTGCAACATGATGTCTTTACTGTCACTTTTGATCGATTTAATGCATCCTTAAGGAATAAAATTCGCAAAAAAATCTTTTTTACAGTGGTGCATATAGGAAAAATAATAAGGAAACTTATCACAGCCTAACACATTTCAAGTTAAATCCTGACTATCAAGTCCCGCCCACTTTATTGTCTACACAATATTTTGTTCCACTCAGAAATGCAGCACATTATAGAAGTTAAATGTATAGTGAATGCAGTTTCATGTCTTTATGTCAGCTCTCTTGATGTTAAAGCTGCTGTTGTCCTTCTTTAAAAGAGAAACTCTAAACATTAAGCATTTCTTTCTTTAAATATCTTTCTTCCTCTCTCATTTTCTCTTTCAGTCAGGTTAGACAGAATGATGATACAGATCGAGCAGACGAGTGCGATGAGTGACGTGTGAATCATGCTGATTTCAACCACACGTCTGTAGGATTTGACACACACACACACACACACACACACTTCTGCTGACCTGTACGTGTGCTGTGGAAACCCCCTCAATGATGTCATGAGACATGAGCTTCAAACTCCTCATTCTGACCAGAACTTTCCACAAAAACATCACCTTTCCCTCCGTGTGAGAGATATTTTCCATCTGATACAAACCTAAAACTGATAACAGTGAGATGCTGCAGGAGACTGAAGATGAACATCTGCTTTACTGTCTACTGTCTACATTTGGAATGCTCTACAGTAGGGGTGGGGGAAAAAAATCGATACAGCATAGTATCGCGATATTTTCCGCGGCAATACTGTATCGATACACAGACGCCAAGTATCGATCTTTTATTATACTATTTGGTAGAATAATAAAATCAATTTCTTTACAGGTGCATGCGACATTTATGACAGGGTTTCATGCAAGTGTTGGTCAGTTTGTCTGCTTGACAATCCCATTTTGCACTGCAACAATAAAACTGAAGTGAGATAAACAAACTGAGAAATGTTTATTTTTAGTTAAAACAGATGTTGTCAAAGTTTTCCTTTGGGGACATAATTTGAAGTTGGAAAAAGGTAATAAATTGCAATATATCGCAGAATATCGCAATATATTTAAAATCGCAATAATATTGTATCCTGACACAAGTATCGTGATAATATCGTATCATGAGGCCTCTGATGATTCCCACCCCTACTCTACAGTGCAGAACCTCACTATACAAAAAATTAATATTTTTCAAAGATTATTAGAGTATGTTTTACGATTTCAGTCTTTCTACCTCAAAACGTCACATTTCATTTAATGTGTTACTTGCTGTTTCTTTGTAATTATCTGTGCAACAAAAGCAAGAATTTAGTTTTTACATTTTTAAAAAAATAATAAAGCAAACAGTGCGTTAGTATGATGGTAGCATAAAAAAAACATTAAAACACATATTAAATATTGAGTGCATTTTAACTAAACAGAACTATTAACAGTATATCAGTATTTTCCATTAAAGCCCCACAAATTAAGTATATTATTTATAGTCAAAATGTCTCTCATCTGCCATGTTGGATGAAATCACTGAGCTCATCCCAATGCATTCTGGGATTGTCTGATCTATAAAGTATACATGCTGTCGATTTCAGCCAAAATGAGAGGTATAATTAGAAAAAGTGTGACTATGATGCAAAAAATTTTGTCTAAATAGGCAGCTCACAAAGTTTTGGAACATGCAACATTTTATATCATTTTAAAGAAACAACTAGGGAAATTTAAGCACTTAAATCCAAATAAACCCAACAGGTCAACTTAATGCAAATAACACACCATCTAGTGTACCCTTTTTGTTCATTTCCTCTCTGATTTTGAGATTCCCTCTTATTTCTCTCTCTGTTTATCTTAGTGAAATGTGTCAGCATTTAAGGGAATTGAATTACACGTGCAGACTCTGAAATGAAATATGATTTTGCTGTGTGTATACGACAGGGGTTTGGTTAAGGTTCTGTGGTGACTCGGTGTCTCGCTCTGTGGAAAAAAACACACGGCTCTTTCCATTTTCTCCAAACACTTTAACTTCAAACAGAAAGGTAGACCAAACCTTAAAGACACATCAGCATTCCATGAACCCCATGCGTCTGTGGTCAAAACCCTCGGGATGAACACTAACATTACCTACAGTCCTTCTGAATGACTCACATCCACTCCCCGACCGTTCCAATCCCACAATCCTTCAGCTTTTTCTATCAAGACACACTGAGATTAAACAAACGGCAACAAATTAAATTTTTATGCATTTGCATGTTTCTGAAAAGAATTGCTTCCTGCATACTGCACTGCATTATTTATTTAGCATTTTTGTCCAATATTGTGCAAAAACGTCTTACCTTTTGACTAATCTAACATCACAAAAAATGAATTTCATGCAAAAGTATTGCATTTCTCTCAAGGAACTTTACGTTTTCGCACAAAATGTTTGCATTTTCTCGCAAAAGTATTGCATTTCTCTCAAGAAACTGTATTTCTCGCAAAATATTTTCATTCTCTCGCAAAAGTATTGTATTTCTCTCAAGAAACGTTGCGTTTTCTCAAAATATATTTGCGTTCTCTCGCAAAAATATTGTATTTCTCTCAAGAAACGTTACGTTTTCTCACAAAATATTTGCATTCTCTTGCAAAAGTATTGTATTTCTCTCAAGAAACGTTGCGTTTTCTCACAATATATTTGCGTTCTCTCGCAAAAGTATTGCATTTCTCTCAAGAAACGTTGCGTTTTCTCACAAAATATTTGCATTCTCTCGCAAAAGTATTGCATTTCTCTCAAGAAACGTTACGTTTTCTCACAAAATATTTGCATTCTCTTGCAAAAGTATTGTATTTCTCTCAAGAAACGTTGCGTTTTCTCACAATATATTTGCGTTCTCTCGCAAAAGTATTGCATTTCTCTCAAGAAACGTTGCGTTTTCTCACAAAATATTTGCATTCTCTCGCAAAAGTATTGCATTTCTCTCAAGAAACGTTGTGTTTTCTCACAATATATTTGCATTCCCTCGCAAAAGTATTGTATTTCTCTCAAGAAACATTGCGTTTTCTCACAAAATATTTGCATTCTCTCGCAAAATTATTGCATTTCTCTCAAGAAACGTTACGTTCCTCTTCAGGAACTCGAGCTGCGTCGGAAACGCTAGGGGAACGCCTTCTGTGACCACGCTCTGAATAACATGTGAAATCAGTCCAATAGCTGAGCGGGACGTCACAGGCGGGTGACGTCATGACCAGGAAGCTACAAAAGCACGTGCGGCGGAGCCAGCGTCAGCTTTCTGTCATTCAGCGAAGCGCTCTGTGTGTGTCAGTCATATTTATTGTTGTCTGTCAATTGTGAAAGTCTATAAGCTCCAGCTATGTCTAAGCTCATGCAAAGACAAAGCATTTCAAGGGCGAGAGCAAGCCACGTTGTAGGTTGTGTGTTCCTCCCTGCCCAAAGAAAACGGGCTCCGCCGCACATGCTTTTATAGCTTCCTGGTCATGACGTCACCCGCCCGTGATGTCCCGCTCAGCTATTGGACTGATTTCACATGTTATTCAGAGCGTGGTCACAGAAGGCGTTCCCCTAGCGTTTCCGACGCAGCGTCTCGTTCCCTCGAGGAACCAGGGTTACATACGTAACCTGAGACGTTTTCTTGCTAAATATTTGCATTCCCTCGCAAAAGTATTGCATTTCTCTTAAGAAACATTGCGTTTTCTCACAAAATATTTGCATTCTCTTGCAAAAGTATTGTATTTCTCTCAAGAAACATTGCGTTTTCTCACAAAATATTTGCATTCTCTTGCAAAAGTATTGTACTTCTCTCAAGAAACGTTGCGTTTTCTCACAATATATTTGCGTTCTCTCGCAAAAGTATTGCATTACCCCCCAAAAAACTTTGCATTCTCTTGCAAAAATTAGCATTTTCTGGCAAAAGTACTACGTTCACTCAAGAAACTTGCTTTTACTCGCAAAATATTTGGATTCTCTCACAAAAGTGTTGCATTTCTTTCAAAAAAATTTGCAGATGAGACAAATATCCTTTTTCCTCCCACCACCTCATATTAATTCAAACACAAAAGTCTTGCAAGCAAACATGAAATTTCTCAGGAAAATGCAAACTCAAAGGAAATATACTGAAATATATATATTTTTTTTATCCCATCTCATTTTTTACTATCACTGTGTCTCTTTAGGGGACACACTGAGTGCACAAATAACATGAGTACTATGATATATCTTTCTGAGCAATACAGTCTGACCAAATACAAGCACAACCACACTTCACATGTACTGTATACTTATTTTAAACATTTATGGTTGACCTGACCATTACACACACACACAAGCACACGTGACAGTCTATAAACCCTTGTGCCACAGGGTAACCCTACAATCTTACATTAGCACTACATAACCACAACTAGCTGCTAAACAAACACGCACACGTTCCTCTCTCACATCTCCACTGGACACAGTCACAGAGAGATGCTGAAACATTTCATCACTCAGTGAAGACCACAGACACATGTCCACAAATCCCTGCTAAAGACCCACAACACCCTGACAGCAAGACCAAAGAAGCCCAGTGCAAATTAGATCTATCTTCTACTGTATCTCAATTCTTACTCTTAGACAGCAACGGCTCACATCAAACCGCTGAGCCATGAAATAGCAATAAAGAAGCCTCTAAGGAGATGCTCTGAGAAGATGTGAAGAACTTTTTGACTAATATTCTGTAGGAAAGACTCTGGAGCTGCTTCTTACCTCAAACACCTCCTCATCCAGGATACGCGTCCCGAAGACCACGATGCCTTTAGTGTCGATGATGGGGTGAGGGCTTCTGGATAGCGTCCGTGTCACCTTTTTCTTACAGTCCAAAACCAGAGTGATGCTCTGTTTGTGAACACTGATCGCCACACGGTGCCACCTGACACAAACACACACACACACATGAATGAGGGTCTATCTATTTATCCATCTATACATCTGTCTATCCGTCTATCCATCCATTTATAGATCTGTCTATCCATCCATCTATCTATCTATCTATCTATCTATCTATCTATCTATCCATCCATCCATCCATCCATCCATCCATCTATCTATCCGAAGTTTCCCATCTGCATATGTGTTATTGATGTGTTTCTGCAGTGTTTATGTAGTTACACAGGGCGTCACACCTGTGTCTGCTCACCTGTGCAGGTGTTGGCTTCACACCATTGTGACAGATTATATATGTCGCACATCAAAGCTAGTAATTAAAACCAAACACACTAAATCCTAACCAGACGTTACGTAACCGGCCCTTAAGTTTCCAGTGTCAAGAAAATCATTCCTGACTGTGAAATACTGTGACAAAATCACACAACATATTTCAAATTGAATACACAGCTTGTGCGTGTGTCTTACTTTCCGTCTGCCAAGTTGACCCCTCTGAAGAGCGGGTAGTCCTCCGGGCCGGGTTTGCCCAGGTGATCCTCATACAGGAAGACAGGAGAGCGTCCCACTTCCAGACCGAGCTGCTGGATGCCCTGTTCGTTATACACCGACAGCAGGAAGGACTGACTGCCTTTCTTCGGCCTCACCGTCGCCAAGATGGAGAAGTCCTCAGGAAACACGGACGCTAAAGAGGGAGAGAGTGTTATTTTTGAAAATCCGAAGTGTTTTGGGGGGGGTTACTTGGTGCAAAATATTGAGGACAGTGTGTGACAGAGCATTACATCACGTCTATGAGCGGACAGATGCTGTCAGGTAACAAAGATAAAGTGTTTGACATGGATAAGAGCAGAATGGAAAACGGTTGGATCTCTGGCACATCTTTGGGAAACTCTGTAACAGTGTGTGCGTGTCTAACGGTGTTGATAAGAGTCTTGGGTCTACTGGGAGGGAGCAGAGAGAGCGAGAGAGATGGAGAGAGTAATGAGGAGAACAGCTGTTCCCCAAGAGACATTTTATTACTCGAATTCATCTAGCAGAGAGAGGTGGAGAGAACAAACAGAGAGAGAATCACAAGTACAGAGAGGAAAATATACGAGCAACATTCTTAAAGGAACAGTTCACTGAAAAATGAATATTCTGTCACTGTTTACTCACCATCATGCCAGTCCAAACTATGACTTTCTTTCTTGTGAGAAACATATAACGAGATGTTTTTGGGAATCTCAGAGTTGACTCTTTTCCACACAATGAAAGTGAATGAGGACTATCGAGCTCCAAAAATGCCAGTAAAGCATCATCAAAGTATCATAAAAGTGGTCCATTTGATTTGTGCACTATATTTTTCTGAAGAAAGTTTGGAGTCAGGAAGTTTTTTTTTTTTTTTTGTGAAAGAAATTAATACTTTTATTCAACACGAATGCAACAAATTGACCAAAACTGACAGTAAAGACATTAATAATGTTACAAAAGATAATTATAATATAATAATAAATGTCTCATGAGCAGCAAATCAGCATTTCTGAAGGATCATGTGACACTGAAGCCTGGAGTAATGATGCTGAAAATTCAGCTTTGCATCACAGAAATAAGTTATTTTTTCAAATAAATTTAAATAGAAAATTGTTATTTTAAATTGTAATGATATTTCACAATACTACAGATTTTACTGTATTTACAAAATAAAATAAAAAAATGTACTGTACTGTATATACAAATAAATACAGCCTTGGTGAGCATAAGAGACTTCTTTTAAAAACATTCAAAATCCTAGAGACCCAAATAGTAGTGTATTTAAGACCTAAATGTAATCTTTTGTTTGCTTAAAAATGCAAACTTTCTGTCACCGCCTTTAACCTGATAACATATTTGAATCTAAACCTGACAGCAAACAAGACCTTTATGGTGCTTTTTTTGTCATTTTTGAAGCTTGAAAGCTCCTTGTTCCTGTCTGGAAAAAAGCAGCTTTTAGACTGACATTTTTGGGTGAACTGTCCCTTTAAGACTGAACTTTAAGTCCAGTCAAACTTCGAAAAAACAAAGAAAGAGAAGGAAAAAAGGGTGAAATTAAACAGTCTCTTTCTAAAACGAGAAAAACAGACATGACTTCTCTCTCTCACACACACACACACACACATACACAACATGTGCCAAACAGATGCCCGTCGCCAGGACCTCTGGGAAAATCTAGGCTGCTTGAACAGGAAGTGAGTTTTCCAGTCATTCAAAAGACAAAGCATCCATACATGTGTGCAGTAAACACACCTGATGATTGCTGCAGTGTTTAGTGTGTTTATGCTTTAATCAACTGCACAGGTTTAGAGTCCATTACTGGACTTCATAAACATTCTAATTATTTAGAAAGAACATGTTACTAAAAATTCTCAGACGGCCTTCCTGGAATCCCGTCTCCATGTCTAACTCCTCCTTTTCTCCTCTGTTTATGTCTGGAGATATTTTTTGAGTCTTCAGATGTGATTCTACTCGAGTCACACCATTACAGACAGTCTACATCTCTAAAAACCTCATAAAACATTCATCTCATAAAACACTAATGAGGTTATTTGAGGTCTGATCTGCACATATTTCTGAATGTTAATAATCTGAGCTGTCCAAGAACAAGAACAGAGAGGTTCATTTCTGCTTTTGTTTACATTAAGTGCTTAATTTCACACACTGTGTGTATAAATGTAAAAAACAAAGCCACCAGATGAACCTCAAGATTTAACGTCTGACTGAAATGGAAATTTCTTAAATCAAAGGGAGGCATTTATCTAAAAAACAAGCTGTGCAGAGAAAACCACCACTGAAAACAACCTTAATTTAAATAACAGTCAATGAGCAAGCAGTGAACATTCTATTCTGGATCTAGATATTTTCTAGAATTCGTGTTACTATTTCATAAGAAATAGTAATTCTGTGAAAAAAAATGTAGATTTGCGATATATAAACATGAAATTGTGATCGATTTAAATCTCAATTTAAGTCTCAATTACTTTTTTTATTACCTTATGGCGGAAACGGACTTCCATATACAACAGTAATACAATATAACATATATTCTGTATCACAAAATGTCTTTCTAAGAGATTCTACACTGGTTTAATTCTTTGTGAGATATTCTAGATCTTTCCCTGCTGTTAAAGTGATTTTCAGAAACAGATATTCTAGATCACTTCGCCGCTGTGAGAAGCCAAACAATTTTTATCACTAGGGCTGGGTAAAAAATATCGATATCTCGATATTAATCGATTCTCATTTTTACGGAACGATATCGATTAGTCAAGAATCGATTAGTCTAGCCTGTTTTCAGTTAATGGACGGAACATTGAAGTATACTTCCCATCCAATAAATCGCAATAAGCATAGGCGGAGGGTGAACCAACTCCAGGGTAAGGCTAAAAGCAGCCAAATGTATTAAACATCATAAACCCGTCTTTTTAGGCAAGAACCAGACATGGGTGTCATGTAGGCTAAAAAAATGTTTAATGGGACTGAATTTGTATTTAACGTGATTACAATGTAATAAAAACGTTAGAAATTGATAATTATATAACGTTTCCTTTCCACGGTTATTCAAACAGCGAATAAATTATATATAGAAAGTGAAATTATCACTAACATTGATCTACTGCGAGTTTAAGCACTCAAAAAAAAAAAAACTGATGAGAGAATTCGCAAGAGTCCGGAATTCAGTCAGCGAACGC